TAAATAAATAAAACAAATAAATAACTAACTTAATGAATAATAAAATAATAAATATGAATAATAAAATAATAAAATGAACAAATAAGTAAAACAAATGAATAAAATAAATAAAAAAAATTGGTTAATTAAATAAATAAATAAAATAAGTTAATGAAATAAATTTATAAATAAAATAAATAAATACATAACATAAATAAATATATAAAACAATTAAATAAAATCAAAAAATTAAATAAATAAATAAAATAATTAAATAAGATAAATAAATAAGACAAATAATATAAATAAATAAATAAAAAAATAGATAAGTTAAATAAATAAACAAATAAAACAAATAAATAAATAAAACAAATAAATAAATAAATAAATAAATATAAATAAATATAAATAAATAAATAAATATAAATAAATAAATAAATATAAATAAATAAATAAATATAAATAAATAAATATAAATAAATAAATATAAATAAATAAATAAATATAAATAAATAAAGAAATACAAGTGAGATTACATGAATAAATAAATATAAGTGAGATTACATAAATAAATAAATATAAGTGAGATTACATGAATAAATAAATATAAGTGAGATTACGTAAATAAATAAATATAAATGAGATTACATGAAGAAATAAAAATATAAGTGAGATTACATGAATAAATAAATATAAGTGAGATTACATGAATAAATAAATATAAGTGAGATTACATGAATAAATAAATATAAGTGAGATTACATGAATAAATAAATATAAGTGAGATTACATGAATAAATAAATATAAGTGAGATTACATGAATAAATAAATATAAGTGAGATTACATGAATAAATAAATATAAGTGAGATTACATGAATAAATAAATATAAGTGAGATTACATGAATAAATAAATATAAGTGAGATTACATGAATAAATAAATATAAGTGAGATTACATGAATAAATAAATATAAGTGAGATTACATGAATAAATAAATATAAGTGAGATTACATGAATAAATAAATTAATATGATTAATAAATGAATAAAAATAAAGAATATGCATTACAGAGTAAAAATATTAAGAGGACCATTAGATCCTAATATTTTATGCAAATACATACATACATCAACAACTGCAAATACATGTATAAATATACATATATTTACTTTTAAATATGTTTAGACATTTGTTAAGGAATGGCAGAATAATTATTTTCTCTTAAAAGCCTTTAAAAAATACTCCCTTTGTAAAAAAAAAGTACATATTATTTTTAAATTTGTTTGGGTAAAGCATACAAAAAAGTGTAAATTAAAAATAAAAATTAAAATCAATATTTAAATTATAACAAGTTTTAATGCCAAGCGCAAGATACAAAGCAACAGGATACGATTTTGCTTTCGTTATTAGATTTCTTTTAGCATTTCCTTCCTATTTCAACAGCATTCAAATTTAAGAAGATTCTGGTATTGGCGCTCCTAACTAAACACAGGGGTTTGTATTTCACGCCCCAAAGCCGATAGCTCCTTGAGGAACTGCTTGGAGTTTGTCAGTGTGGAGGAACCATAAATGATGCGCTTGTGTGATTGTGAGCTTTGCTTCTGTTTGATGAATTCAATCATATTTTGATATTCAATGTAATTGCCACCGCCTACAATAAAGACTACTGCATCCTGGAATGGTGAACGATTTTTGGGCATAACATCGCCGTTCTTCAAAAGTTTTGGATCCAGATACAAATAGTCATCAATTTCCACATTATTCCGACATTCCATAACTTGTTCAGTCAATTTGGTGATAGGAAGATTCTGCAAGAAAAAATAAAATCACATAGAAAGAGCTTACAAAATAAGTTATAGAAGAAATGCTAAAGTGGTCAAAATTGATTAAGAGTAATTTATTCTACGAGGTCCTTATAGTTATACAAGGTAAGGATCTTGAATCTAAGCCGAGTTAAGGTAAGGGAATCATACCAACTCTACCAGGAGGCCATAAATCAATATGGTTCATTTACACATGAAAGCAGTTAGACGATATCATCTGGAGTAGTGTTTCAGCTGGGTACATATTGGAATAGACGTATGTATGTCTAACAAATAACTGTGTAGCAAGTGGCTATATACTGACTTCTATTGGGCAAGAATAGTTCGTCTGCATGAAAAAGACGTCTTTTATTTCCAGATATATCAGACCTGTTGAGAACTTTACTCAACCTATACTTTTATATATTCTTTTTAAGTTATGCTTACTTAAAGCATACTTACATGACGCTTAACGACTAAATTCTTGACGCCTTCCATAACGAAAGATGAACCCTGCGACACTAGTTTTGAAAACATCGACACTGTTTTAGTGCCACCGCCTTCATACTGGTTAACCATAGGCGAACGATTCATAAGCGCCTTCCAACGTTGCACATACGGCAGAGGTGATGAATCACAACCCGCTTCTTGCAGCACTTCTTTCATGCGTTCGAATTCGTGCTCCGACGCGTTCTGTGCGCAAATATAGAAAATAATATACAAGCGCATTTTATCCTCAGGCAAACCAAATTCAGGATCTTTTAATAAATCCAATATAGGACGATCAAGAGTTTGCTTTGACATGATTTTCTCTTCCAACTCGAAAAACGAATCCAAACGTCGTGACTTTATGAAATTCAAGACAGCGGTGGCAATCTTTGTATGCATATCAATCAGTCGCTTCTTCTCCATGAGTTGCGGTAATGAGTTAACCGCATTGGTTAATCTGGCCGTTGTATCGTTCACCATCGAAAATGCAACTTCATTTTCACCATCAATACCCATCGAGGTTTTTAGCCGTTTGATTTCATCCTCCGAGCTACGATAAGACTCTAGTTCCTCTTGGATAGCCTCTGCAACTGTAGGAAATGGACTGCCTTTATGCGTAATCCAAAAGCGATCATTACGGTCCAAATCACATGGTTTAGGCTTTTTACGTGCTCCTAAATTTAAAAACGAAATCAGTTAAATTTTTAAATGATAATTTATTAAAATTTTGTAATAGGAACCTGCATGCATACTGACATCGTCGTCCACATACACTAAATTCAAACTTAGCTCTAACAAATCATGCACCAACGCTTGATATGACCAAGTGTGATGTAATGGTGTAGCTAAATCAATATTGCGGTCCAATAACAAAAGCACTGGACGCTGAAAACTGAACACACCATTTCCTGCTTGTGAGGTATCCATGTGAAACAAATTAGAGCGAGCGTCCCATAGATTTTCACGCAATTTCTTTTCCAATTTACGTGCAACCATCTCGGCAGCTGTATTTCGTGGGCAACGTATAATTGGAACATTTCCGAGTGTGACAAAAACATCAAACAAAGAATCCACCATCGAATCCATTAACATCATCATCTCATCATCCTTTGTGTTAGCTCGATTTATGGTGTAATATGACATCAATTCACTTTGCTGGTGTTTTAATATGAAGAAATCATCCTCCAAGCTTATAAAATTCACATACTGATCATACACCCGATGTATGTTGGCGACACAGCCTGCCTGCAGCGCTGCACCTGCCAAATCCTCAATTTTTTGACGCGTAATGGGTGCTAGGAAGTTTAAGTAGTAAACATCATACAGGCCTTTTGCAAAATCCTGCTGTATGCGGTCGAGATTTTCAGTGGTTGGCATGCAAAAGTAAATTGCGGGCACATCAGGTATAGAATCGCGGTCAGAGTGCAGTTGTCTGTGCAAATAAATAAATTAATTTTAATAATTTAGTACAAAAATAGTAAAGCTGGTGCCACTTACACGTGCAAAGTAACGCCCAGCTCACGCAGCTCCTTAATAGATATTATAGGTGATATGATGTCTTGACCAACGCGATCATATATCAGAATCTTCCACACTGGCTCGGCAACTAATACTTTGGTATGTTGCACGTTTAAATTCAACATTTGCTTGATGGCATCTGCAATTATAAATGGCATACGATTAACTTTTAATTCAGTTTTTTACTTTGGTTGTAAAACATTTCGTAGCAATGAAATTGCTTTTGTCATGAAAAGGGCACTTTAAACCAAACATCATTATTTCATTTTTTTGGTTTATGCGTACTTATTTGCCGCTCGCGTAATGTTGTCATATTGTCGAATTTATTTATTGTTTGTAACACTTAAAACTTGTAATTGTTTTATTATTGCTTTATTAACTATACGATGCACAAAACTATTGGAATGAAAACAATTTAGTCATTCGCCGTTTAAGACGTCAAACAAATTGACATACACGTATGTTTTCGACTTCGACTTTCGAACACAGAAGCAGCTGTTGCGCAAATATTGCAAGATGCTGTACAGTATAAATGAAAAATATATTAATCAATATGCAAAAAAACTATTAAGACTATAAAAATTTATGACTTTAACATTTTGTTTTAATGTATATTCATAAAATTTATGTTTAACAATTTCATATATTTAATATTAAACAATATGTGTATGTAGAATAACTTTCTTGATGATAGTGTAATGTTATTTAGGTCGTGTGCGAGTTCGAAATAGTAATAGTTTATTATAATAATAGTGAATTATATCGGTTTGGCAGGAAATTTTGGTATTTACCAAAATTTCAAGTAGGGTAAAATAAAAAAAAATTAGGTAAATTAGGTGTTATAATTGTGAAAATTTTATAAGATGTTCAATGAATAAATAAATTTGAAAACTTCAAACCAAAAATAGCATATACCGGTGATCCCTAGTGGATCCACTTAGGCCTATTGGCCCATTGTGATGAAAATAGCATATAAGTGAAGTAAATAAATAAATAAATATTTACATAAGTGCTGTGCAAAAAATCTAGGAAATTTCAATTTACTCAAACTCGCACACGGCCTTAGCAACGCACTGCGTTCGTTATTCGTTGAAATCGTTTTGCGTCCAACTTAATTACTTATTAATAAATTAAAGTCTTAAAGATTTTTATATATATATATATATATATATCATTTAAATAGGAACTGTTATATTGATTCAATAAATGGATATAAATATAAATAGATGTCAACACTGATATGTCATATTTATGTGTATGTTGAATAATTTTATCTGCAAAAATTAACTACAGTCAAACTTCCATAACTCGAAGTCCAATTTTGCAAAAAAAAAGGTTCTACTTATGGAGACTTCGAGTTAGGGAATTTTTTTTTTTTTTTGAAAGAAACTAGAATTATATTTTAAGATATTGATTTATTTATTTAAAATCAAATACGGCACAGAAGTTATAGTGAAGTGAAATAATTAAAAATTAGTATTTCCGATTTTAATTTTTCTTTTTGTTGTTTTTAATAAAAAGATATTCCATTTTATTTAAAGCTTTATAATGATCAGTTGTAATATCATTCGTTTACAAATATAAATTCAGATTTTTGAATGTGTCTTCTCCTTCATGCTTGGAAGCCCAATAAACAATTATATCCACCGAGTCCTCATCACTTTCCGTTGCGCTTAGAATTGGATCCAGTAATTTATAGCTATAGTGCTCAATAATATCGTCATCTGTAGAAAATTTTAATGTATAAATTTCATTGTCAAGCTCAGTATAATCGTTAAGAGTAGCATTGGAAGTTACTTTATTTACTTTAAACCACGCTGTCAGCGACTGGTATTTCCACAAAGAAGCAACATAAGAAAAAAAATTAAACCTTTTGTTTGGAAAAGGGACTTCCCGTAACAGCAAAATGCATTTACACTCAAAACAAAAATTTGACTTGTAGTTATAGAGTTATAGAAGTTTTAGTTATGGAAGCAGAGTTGTATATAATTTGCTCTCTGAAACCTTGGTACACTGTTTTTGGTTCGAGTTATAGAAAATTCGAGTTATAGAAGTTCGAGTTATGGAGGTTTGACTGTATTTATATATAATGTATAAAATGCATACATTTTTTTTATGTTTATTGCTTAATTTATTATTTAAAATAATTATTTTATTAGTTATTGCAGTTTACGTATATTGCTTAAAAAATTAGTAAATACAATACCTACAATATAAAAGCTTCATATAAAATATTTATTCAGTATTAAAGGAAAGAATGGATACATAGACCTAGATATATTCATTTATGTATTTTATAAATTAATTATATATATTTCTATTACTTTTTTTTTGTAATGAAATATTTCATAGTTATTGTACTTATCAAGTGAATGTAATTATATATTGAATATAGTTCCGCTGAATTTAATAAATTATATCTATCTTAGAGTGACATCGACATTCTATGTTATTTCGTTGTATATGACATTCAATGAAATTTCATTGGTGTATTTCCTCAAAATACGAATATAGTTTTATAGTATGTATGTTAATTTTTTATATGCATATCTTTCAGCTTTAGGCTATGGGAATAGCCTAACTTTTAATTTAATTTTATGCCGTGTTTGAAAATATAAGTACACCCAAAATTTTTTCACGTTCTTCTGCTTAAATTCTAAACACCGATTATTCAACAAAACAGACTCATCCTTGACCATTAATTCGACTTTCGCCAAAAACATAGTACAATAGAACAAATTCATAGACTTGTCAGACATATCCATAGTGCGATAGATGTGAGAAATATTGTACTGCGGCATTTATATATATTTCACAAGCTTTTGATCAAGTATGGCATGAGGGCCTTCTTTTCAAACTAAAACTGAATCTACCTAAATCATACCTCTCGGCAAGGTACTTTTTCATTAAGCATGGAAACGAAACTGCAGAACTTCGTGATATAGGAGCAGGAGTACCTCAAGGTAGCATAATGGGACCAATGCTTTATTTTCTATATACTGCGAATCTTCATCTTACCGATGAGAGTGTTATCGGTACATTTGCAGACGATACAGCTATTTTATCAGTTGACAGTGACCCAATTCGTGCTTCCACCAAACTACAAACCTGCCTTAACAATATTGGTCTCTGGATGAAAAATTGGCGTATTAAACTAAATGAGTCAAAATCTGCCCAAGTAACATTTACTACAAAACGTTCTACGTGCCCGTCTGTCTTAATAAACAATACTCAATTACCACAAGCTGTAGAAACAAAATACTTGAGCATACATCTGTATAGTGTACTAACCTAACTAACCACACATATTTAATAAGCGTACAGCCTTGGGTCTTAAATTGTGAAACTTAATCTGGTTCCTCAGCCGAAATTTCAAACTGTCACTAGACAATAAGCTGCTTATATACAAAACTGCACTAAAAACTATATGGAGTTGTGGAGCCCAATTAAGAGGTACTGCAGAAGATTCAAACTTGGCAATTATCCAGCGTTTTCAATCTAAAACACTTCGAATGATCACAACAGCACCTTGGTATGTAACGAATGAACAGTTGCATAAACAACTACGTGTTCCGACAATCAAGGAAGAAATATCTCGAATTACAAAGAATTACGCTCATCACATATATATGCATCCAAATCCACTGGTTACACACCTGATGTCTTCTTCAACACTTTTACAAGGCTAAACAGAAAAACATCGAGAGATGTTTTAAATATGTATATGTAGGTCACAAAGTTCTATTTTAATTATATATGGATATGTCATTGGACATAGTCCATACGTGTCTTTCTTTTTTAGATCGTAATAACTATTATTAGGATTCATGTTAATATATATTACTTATTGTCATTCATACCTGGCAGATTGTAATAAAATAAATGGATTAAAAAAAAAATTCTAAACAAATTGGCAATAACAAATTGAAAGGAGCCAGCTATCATTATTGACAGACAACAATATTAGGCAGTTGCAAAAAAATTATTTTGTCATAACTTCCACTGAACACACACCATAAGCTATAAAAATTAATTCAATACACAAACCTAATACAATCTGTTCCTGAAATACTATGGCGCCCGCTTCAACCTTTCGTCAATGAACATAATTTTTTTATATTCAAATGCATAATAACACTAATAGTAAAAATATATTTAAATTTCAGAAGTAAAATTTTAAAATCATGACTAAAAAAACAGTATTTACTTGATGGAATTTTACATATAATACCAGCTAACATAAAAGACAGAACACAATAATTAATGGTAAAAACTACTAAACGATGGTATGTGTATGTACTAAGTTCGAAAAACTTCTTTTCAATAATGTTATAGTTACTTATTTTATTAATGAAATTAATTGTGGTGCTCAAGCTAATGTTTATATTCATTTTTCCATCCTAAATATGCCTTTTATTAAATGTTAACATTAATTTATATTGCATATATATCTATAATGAAATACACAAAGTTTGTATTTAGTTTGTACAATCAACGCTTAACGTATATGCAAGTATTTTCTTATATATTTTCCAAACGCACTATTGAAATTCATTATGAACAAAATGAGAGCAAATTTTTTCAATGATGCCATGTGGTTTCAGTAAAATAAATATGTTAACATAATATCATTATTATAATTGCTGCTCTCTAATGCTTATGTAATAAGATGAAGCTTATAGCCGAGCCAATTCAAGCTGCAATATTAATTGAAATACAATACACTACCAACAAAGGTTATACAATTGCTGTGATTTTTTGCAATACAAAATATATTGCTATTAAAACGTAGAGTTGTATTTTTGCTTGCACTCTGATATTAATCATTAACCATAATTTGTTTCGACAATTGACTTCATGTTTAACATTTACATTTACGTTTTAACAAATGTCATTGGCTTGCATATTAAATGACATTAAGGGTCGATTACATAGTTATAATTTAAGTCTCTATACTATATTAATACATGTTTAAGAAATCAATATTGCTGACTTGATTCATTAATTACGACTTACAGTTATTGACCGCAAGCGAATTTAACAATATATGTTTTTTTAATTGTAATTCTTAACAATAACTGGTTTGATTATTAATGTTAAAAAGTTGTGAGACTTCCATTAAGTATGACAACTTGAATAAAATTTATTATATGTTACACCGCTAAGTATTACACTAGGATGAGAGCACCACATTTTTATAACTTTTTGTAGAATAAAAGGCAAAAACACTATAATACACGAAGCGTGTTTGAAATATGTTCACTCCGTATGACTACGCTTCGTATTATATATTAATAAAATAATATATAAAATTAATAAAATATTTGTGTAAGAAATCACTTACCATAAAATTCGTTTAAAAATTAAATAAAATTATGTTAGTGTTACTATTTTATAAATAATTACTTAAATTGCAATTAATAAAAAACTGCAACGCGAATTATACTTCAAATTTTAAAGATTTTTACCAAAAAAGTAAAAAAATCTGGTAGCCTTAACTTAATTATAAATTTCTCTGTTTTGGTTCTGGATTACACACAATTTGTATCAGCGAACGTGTAATGAAAACAGTATTACCATTTGATATTTTTTTGCAAATAATTGTTAATATTGCACTTCAACTAATATATTATATTACACAATATTACAGAATATGTTTACTAGAATAATTTGGTTGAATATCATCTATTGAAATATGTTTTATTTCAAATAATTATAAAATGATTATAACTCCACATTTTTTTTGCATGTATATAGTTGTTATCAATATCAAAATACTATTCGAAGTTTAATGTGAGTAATGTGTTAAAATGGAATGAATAAAGAAATTCAATGCAACAGAAATATTAAAAAATTGAAAATAATTCAATAACTACAATATAACAGATTTTAATACTCTTCGAAAATGCTTAGAAACGTTGATAGTGTATAGTTACTGAACGTATATCGAAAAAGAGAGCAAAAAAACACAAAAACCTACATAACACGTATTGTACTGCAAGGAAAATATACTATTGTTCTCTCTTATGCATTACACAATTATTGAACTCCAACGTTATACTGGACTCACACGAGAGTTTTATTTGTGCACACAAGCAGTGCAATGGATGATTACTTGAAGAAACATATTGTAATTCATAGTCCTTTTTTGTAAAAAAAAAGATATGACGTTCATGAATTTCGATATTAAGGATGGGAATATGGGCTGCATTTAAAAGCTTAATATTATTATGTAAAGAATTATATTTGCTTGGAATCCGAGTCTTTTCCTGCTTTTATTAATTGGTATGTGTCAACAAATTCAGCTTTATGTTTCTGTAAAGAAACTAGAAAACATATTTTAATGATATGTAAATGTATACGTGTTGCAGTTAGTAGTTTTAGTAGTTAGTAATTTGTAGTTTACAAATTGAGAGTCTGAGAAATTTATGCATCTCAGTCGTGTATATGTTATTTATGATATCTCTAAAGTGATTAAATATTAATTTATCTATTTGATTCATAGTCAAATAATTTAATACTTTATTATAGATAATAATACAAACTAAATATATGCAAATTATATGAGGAATTTTAACAAAGCACAAGCGAGTGTAATATATGAATTATAATGGTTTTGCAAACTCCTGGCAACTCTGTTAAAAGTCAACATTTATCGGCAATGGCTGATTGTTGTCATTCTGTTTTTTACTTTGTGAAGTGGTGGACGTGCTAGCGGCGGAATCAGTTGTCAGATCGAATGTGGGGAAGTGAACGCGTAATATCCAGTAATAATGAATCTACTTATAAGTAAAAATTAAATAATAAAGTTATTAACAAAAATGTTACAATGTGCCAGTAGTGTGATGTGTTAGTGTCGCGACATTCGAACTGTAAATGTGCTTTGGCTTTGTCTTTTTTGTTTTTAAGAGCTTTGTGCATCAACAGTAACAAAAAAAAATACAAATATTTTACAAACCCATATAGTGTGAATATATAAAATCTTGTACTCCATAAAAAAGTTTATAATTTTAATACAATAACGGAGATTTTAGTTTAAATACAGAACGCAAAAATATTCTATGCGTCTGCTTCTTTCTGTGCAGTTGTGGACAATGCTACAAATATGCGGTATCTCGCGGTTTTTTTCAACCGAAGCACGTGCCATTGCACCCCGTACTCGCAATAACAACAATCTCATTAAATTCAAATTGGGATTGTTTGTTTTATTAAATTTATTAATTAAAACAAATTGTCAATTATTAATCAACGTACAAAATCAGGTAATTGCTATTTCCTATTTGCTCTTTCTATGCAAATATGTTTGTGTAAATGCTTAAGTGAGTTTCTTCTTGCAACAGAATTTTAAGCATCCACTGTTTTTTCGCACGCTTCAAGTTCCATAATGACGCTAAACATCAGCCGCGACAGAGGGGGGGTCACATTTAGTGGTCGATCATACAAACGATCATTCCCCATCCATTTCAACGACAATAAGAAGCATTTACCAGTATTCAAACAATTTCAGTGTAAACAATAACAACAAAACATTACATTAAATTCAAGGTTATTAATTTATATGCAATGAGACATGCATATAAATTCTGTTGGTCGAAGATAACAAGCCCTTCCCTGTTCACTGTTAAAGCGTCCAGGAGTTGGAGACATTAGGTTACTGTTTGAAGCCACCCACAGTCTCCGATACTATAGTATATAGATATAGTATGGATATAGTATATAGTATCTAATCTTTAATATTTGAACACTGTTGCAAAATAAAATTTTTTTTTTGAAACATTATATAAAATTAAAAATCAAACAATTAGTTATTATTAATTATATTCTTTAATATTAAAAACTTAGATTATTTTGTAATTTAATAATCGTTAATATTAATTATATTCATTGATTTTAAAAGTCAAATTTTTCTTTAACATGGTAACATAGTTTAACATAGTATTTGCACTTAATGAATTTTCGTTCAAAAAAAAAGTTATATTTAATAATATTAAATTTCAAACAATTTGTAATTATTCTTCATTTTATTTGATATTAAATCTTAGATTTTTTATATAACTTAGTTTAACATAGTATTTGCACGCAAGAAATTTTCGTTTAAAAAGAAAAATTATATTTAATAGCACTAATTTCAAACTATTTGTAAATATTATTTTTATTTTTTGATATCAAACTTAGATTTTTATAACTTAGTTTAACAAAGTATTTGCACTCACACCTTTACTGTCCAACGTCGACTGTAATCAAAAAAAGAAATTTCTTCCTGGTGCACGCACTTTTCACATCGTCAACGATCAACGGTGCCATCTGTAAATGTGTTAAAGTTCAACGACCGTTGATCGAAGCTCATTTTCTGTTACCTCTGCAATGCACCAAGCGAAAGTCCAGCTTTACGGCAAATTTTGTTTCTCACTCGTGTGGAATCTGGACGTTATTCTTGACTAAGCTTTGAATTAATTCCATGTCATTTGTACGAAAGCTTTCCTCATTTGACAGTTCGTATTGTTTTGTTTTGATTTTATTTGTGTTTTTTTTATAAAATAAATTATAATTTAATCATATAATTATAATTATAATTTATAAATTAATCAATAAATTATAATTTAATTAATCAAAAATGGAATGTAAATTACTATTTTACAACAACATATGAATATAGTGATATAGTGTATTCGGTGATTTGTTAGACACCCAGTAGAAAACGGATCGATCCGTCATCGAAGACGTCTTCAAGACATGGATACATACATGAAGACCGATCGATCCAAATGTATGACGGTCTTCGAAGACACTTTCATACAAATTAGCCAAATGTCTTCAATGAATTTTTGTGTACATGTCTCGAAGACCGTCTCGAAGACCATGTCTTGCATAACGGACGCATTCGACAGAAAGTTGTGCGCTCTTAGTGCAGTGCTCATATAATTTTTTCACCCTTTTTTTTATTTCTACTCTTTTATTGCACTCTTTAAATTTTAAATGAATTTCAATTTTCTCTTTAAATAAGTAGAAAGAAATTGTTGTATTTTGTACTTTTATTTATTTTATATAATAATTTCTTACATTACATTCAAAATTAAAAGTTTTAAAAGTAAATTATAAATTTTATTATAAATTATTATAAATTTTATTAAGATATATTAAAAATAAACTAGTAAAAACTAGTAAACATAGTGAAAATTAATTTAAATAATTAACTTAATATAACTTAGCATATCTAAAATTAACTAACACTAATATAAAATAATTTATAGCATTTCGCTATCATCAATTGTTGAAGTTTTATATGTTTTCAAAAGCGTTGAAAAGAATTTTGGTACAATTAAACCTTCTGATCTTAAGAGTTCTAAAATATCATTACCACAACGCCTGTTAATCCTGTGTTTTTTAAATATAACAGCTAATTTTTCACAAGTGTTTTCAGTTTTTTTATTTTCAACATCCTTTGTTTCGTTTCTAAAACAACTTTCACTGGAATTATTGTCTTCAATATTAATATCAATATATTTTCCAGGAACTAAGTCACTATTTAATTTGTTTTGATTTAATTTCTTTTTTTTTAATATTTCGTAGTTTAATGATTTTGTTTCTTTATTTATTTTGATTTTTTTAATATTTATTTCACAAATGTTTATTCACTACACTTCAAAATTATTGCGTCACTTCGCTTATAAAACATAGCGTCATCTGAGGCAAAATTCAAATACGTTGCTATGAACACTAAAAATGAGAGAGAAAGCAAAGAAAGAGTATTTACATTCATGTTTTGAGCAATTGCTTTGCAAATTTGCTTGAACATGCGGACGCGGTATCAAAGACCGTCTTGAAGACAATGTCTTCGAAGACCACTTTTTCTACTGGGCAGTGATTTGTTGATTTGTGTTAACCGTGTTGTGTTTGTCATAAGGGAACTGTATTAAGAAATTTGTGAGTTAGTGCAATATCTGTATTCGCGGCGTTGTAATAACTAATTTCTTATTGGAAAATTTTAATCGTTACAGAACTTTGTCCATTTTTTGATCATAATGGTTAAAGCGCGGTGCAGACTATCATACTGGTGTGTCACACAAGTTGGGCTCTCTCTTGCTCAAATTTCTTCTAGCGGCCCAATTTAAACAGGTATGACACACAAGAGTCGTCATTCACGCAAAATTTTTGAAGAATGGTTTTCGCATGCTGTGAAAATTTGTGTGAAGTTTAAAATAAAATTTTATTATATATTACTTTGCTGAAATAGTGAAAAATAAAAAAGTAATTAATGACATTAGTTAAGATTAAAAGGTCAGTAAAGGACCGTAGTTAATTTCATTCACTACCTGAAAAATTTCTTAAGAAATTTTCCATCGATAGACCATACAAATAATAAAAGAATGTACATATCTTCATTGTTTTTCAAGAAATTTGATAATTTCCATATTTTTGTTAGTTCAAGGTTAATAACATTTAAAATTCTTTTATTTTAATAACAAGTTTTGACAAAGAAAAGTATATTTAGAATACGGAGCATTGTATCTTAAAATTGGGTTATTAATTAATTGTTATTACGACCAATTTTCAATAAGTTTTTTTATTACTGGTCTTAGATCATAAATTTAACGATGTTTATACTTTTTTTTTTTTTAAATAACAAATAACTTATAATCATCGTTTATAAATTTGTTAATTATATAAGTGTATATTAATTTTTTATAAAAATTTATATATTTTTAATTGAAATACAATTAAATATTTAACATAAATTTATAAGTATAATTTTAATAATAATAATAAAAATAATAAATACATTAATAATAAAATAATAAAAAAACGTATTAAATTTATATTACAATTCTACATATATCGGCTGCTTACGATCAATTTGTAAAGTAAAAATGCTCTCGTATGACGTATGAATCGTTTAGGGTGACAGACTATCATACACAATACGTTGGCGAGAGCTGCTTACCAAAATTTTGGTGAGTACGCCAACACGTTGGTGATAGGTGCAGACTATCATACCTGTATGTCATACAACGTTTTTCTTTCTCGTATGACACACCAGTATGATGTCTGCACCGCACTTTAAAATGAAGTATCCGCTCCATGTTATTAGAGCGTCCGGTTATGGGAATGATATTTGTATAAAAAAATTAATGAAAAAGCTATGTCCCTAAAATTTGATCGGCTATTAAAACCGTCCGGTTAATAGAACTGTCCGTTATAAGGAATTTCACTGTACATCAATCGCTTTCACTACGTCTGTCTGCGTTAATAACCGAATATTTTCCAAAAAATAATTTTAAGTAAGTGCAGTTGTTAGCTTTTGGCAAAAACTACACAAATTTAGAGATTTCAAAATTGTAAAAATTATTCAGGAAAATGGTAAAAACCAAGGAATTATTAGTTGAAATTCGATCTGAGGTTGATACCTAATATAAGAGTGGGATTTCGGCGACGAATTTGGTAAAGTTAAGCAAAATTTTACATAAAACGGTGTAAAATCTAGTTAAAAATAAGAACATATGTGAAAATTTAAAAACTTTGAAAAGAACTGAGTGGAAACCTCCCGAGTAATCGTAGCAAATCCTACAATAAGTCCTGTCAAAATAGCAACATCATCGGAAAAGTTGATTGGCAAGATTGTTAGTGGTGCTACACTACATCGCAGGTTGGAAGATGCTTATATCAATCACCTATGTGGTGTACAAAAGCGTCAATATTACTCTAACGACCCTATCAAATATTCTCTCATTTGCTTTAAAGTATTTTAAGAAACCTAAACAGTTTTGTTACTATGTGTTATGGCCAAATGAGCCTGGATTTCAATTCTAGGGTTCATTTGATAAGCACTCCATGCACTTACGACAACGCCAAAAGAATAAAGCAGTGTAGCCGCTTAATTGAATTGAAGGTGGCACGGGCTTGTTTTGGGGATGTTTATTATACTATGCATTTGGAGATTTGTATCAAAAAATGGCACCTTAAATGATTCCGGTTATATTGGTATTTTAAATAACCATGTCTTAACGTCAAAAAATAGACCTTTTCCAATCAATAACTGGGTTCTACAACATGACAATGCACCATGTCATCAAGAATGTGGACTTAATCCAATTTTAAAAGAGTTAAATCATGCTGTTTCTTTATAGCCTATACAGAGCCCTGGTCTTGATGTCATTGAAAATGTATGAAGCTTCATAAAATATCAAAGGACTATTGATAAAAATCCAAAATGTAGTGATAGCATAATTGAAACAGCGAATATTCGGTCCAAACTGATTCGCAAAGGTGGTGTGACCAAACATTAATTATATTAATTGAATAAGCATAAAAAATTTTTTAAAAAATTCATCAATTAAGAAGAAGAAAATGAAATTGACGTTTTGTGTAAATACTTTTGACGCAAAAAAATGTGTGTAAATACTTTTGACAAGTAATAACCATTAGCGCAGTTGCTTATATTTTTGTCAAATGAACAGGTTTCTTGCCAATTCTTTTTTTATTTGGTTCTGCATAGATAAAACTAAGTGACAACAAAAAAATTTTTTGCAACTTACGTCCAACAACAACAATAAAAATATGTTTTTATGCAATATGTACAAAAATGTGCGTTGTGTAAATACTTTTGACTATGGCTGTCTATTGTATAATATAACAAAACACTTTATGTACACTAAAGTACTGCATGCACGCACGTATTTGATTTCAGTTTCAAATGATTCTATTGTGAAGAGTTCGAATGAAAATGCGTAAAAACCAAATAGAATATTAGAGTCGTTTTTTGGAGTATTCTATCTTTCAGCATTCACTAAATAGTTGTAGAATTTGAGAGTACTCTAAGTATTTGAATTTATGCGAAATCAACTTATGTGTTTTTAAATAGTAAAACACAAATTTATTTATTTAAGGTTTTTATTAATTTTTATTAATTAAATCTTATTAAAAATATAATTTAATTGAAAATATTAATTTTTTATATATGACATGACTCAATACATTTATGATTTATAAAAAAAAAATTTTGAACAAAAATTTAATTAAAAAGATCATTGTTTTATTCAGTTAGTTTACTGATAACTTTTTCTTCACGTTTTCTTTATTACTTCTCAAAACCACATGCCGCCTTTTTGCGTGTGCTTAAAGGCTACGACACAATTAAAATGACAAAATAAATAAAGGCCATGATACAATAAACGTTAATTCTAAACAATCATAATGAGCTTTTCACAGTTTCCATATAAAAAATAGTTCCAAAAATAATGCTCTACAGTAATTTTAATTTGCTTTTTAAAGTTATTTTAAAATAGTAGAATTTAACCCGGTAAACGTTGTTTTGCCATACAAATTATTTCTATTGATTTTTTTTTTTTTAATTAATGATAATGAATGTATTGTATTGTACTGCCATTTGTCGCAGTATTGTGAACTATTTCCGTTACTCCGAACGAAGTCATTTGGAAGCATGAATTAAATATGCGAATGGACTTCAGGAACAGATTTGAATCTTGCGTGTCAATGAGCAATGGTTCTGGTGGTCTCTCAATTTCTGGTAGTTGCACTTTTCCTGATGCGCAACACAACCCGTCTGATTCTTGTTTGAATTTGAGTGCATAACAATAAGGGCATTCTTTGTCCATAGAACCAATCATCACTTTCGGATGTGCGGAATATTCAATATCTGGCTCGTATTTGAACGCAAGACGAAGAAACGAAGTGGATGTAAATGCTCGATGTACTTGTTAGCGTAGTTACATAAAATAATAAAAAAAAATTTTTCTTTTACAAAAATATGAAAAACATAAAAAAAATAAAAAATTTTTTTTTAAGCTATAAAGATATTAGATAGGGAAATATACTTTACGACCTATTCTCATACCTACCAAATATACACAAAAAGTTTCATGACAATTGGTCAAGCCGTTTCGGAGGAGTTTAAACACAAACACCATGACACGAGATTTTTATATATAAGATAAAATACTACAAATTTCAAATTTAATTTATTATAAAAAATATACGTTTAGCATCGCCTGTCTTAATTCCTCTTTTTCAGGATTGTTGTGTAAAAACATGATTTGATTAATAGATCTTTGATTTGATGAAATTATTGTTCTTTTTTCTGATGTTCAGAAGTTTTGAGCTACGAAAAAACCGCTTTCAGAATATGCACTACCTGTTGGTGTTGAAAATAATTTATAATTTACACGAAACATGTAAAGAAAAGAAAATTTATTTTAATGCAATTGCCATCATTGCAAAACATTGAAATTATTTGTGAATGATTGATCTAAACATCCATATCTATCAAACTTTTTTTTATAGTTGTTTCGCGCCTCTTAACAAAATCTTTTAAAAGCTCATTATCATTATTACTTTCAGATTGGCTTTTCTATTGATTTTTTAGTAAAAACAAATCAATATTGTAAGTGCAAGATAACCTATTTCGAATATAGTTATTTTTGTTATTGATCTCTACTTAAAATTCATATTTATATAAAAATGTGTACAATATGTGTTGTGTATAATAAAAGCAATAAAAATGAGCACATAAAATAAACATTGTATTAGTTATTGTAATTATTGTTTTATTGTTACTATAAAAAATAGCAAAACCTACAATTCTTCGTAACGGGTTAAAAAATTCACAAAAATATAGAAATATTGCGAAATGCAGCTGTGCAAAACAATAGCAACTTTATTTATTATATTAAATTTTTGTATTTTTTTTAATATTTTGTATAAAGCATTTTACTTTTTAGTACTTGGGATCACCTACAGGCCGTAGGAGATATTCGATGTAACTATTTGGAATTTTATACCATTCATTTTTCAGCACCTCAAACACATGGGAACTTTTCGATGTCCAACGCGACGTTTCAAAATATCAAAATGTTCTCAATTGAATTCAAATCGAGCAATTGGGTCGGTCAATTTAAAATTGGAATTCTGTTGTTTAAACCAGCTTTAAAGTGTATTTTGGGTTGTTGTCAATAAACCCATCGAAGCTGCATTTCTCATCCGCCATGGGAACCACATGGCTTTCTAAAATATCTTTGCACGTATGTTGGTCCATAATTTGATTAATTATTAAAAAGGACCAACTCCAAATCCTGAAAAGAATGTCGAAATCATTTTTCTTTTTCGCAACGTACTGTGTACAAAATTAAAGGTATTAAATTTTCATTTATCGCTGAAAAAACTGTCTTCCATTTAGCAAGAGTTCAATTTAAATATTTCAGCGAAAAAAATCTACCTCTGGCAAATGCTTTTTAGTTAGCATTGGTTTTTTTGACTGGCCTGTAACTTTTGAAACGGCTTCAAAAGTACTGTACGCCTGCGTACAGTACTAGAGTGAACACCTTGTTTTAGTTCGTCTACGACCTTTTTCGACGACATAAATGTTTTTTTTGTAATTCTTATGATGTTTCCATTAATTCTACAAGTAGTCTTAGGAGGGGCTTAACCCAAATAAACCGTCTTAGCGGAATTTGTCAAGTTATATTTTTTTATAAGCCACTAAACAATAAACTTGCTAATTTTAAATATTTTGGCTATTTCATTTGTGCATTGCAATTTAAATATTCGTCAGTTCTTGCTTCTTTATGACACGTTTACTTCAAAAAATAATTATTTGAAATACTCTCAAGTATTTGTTTATATGATTTTAAAATTCTAAACAAACGATTATGGAAAACAAATCAACCCTCACTCCATTAAAACGAATGCAGCACACATTCCATTCCATCGGACCATTTACTCTCATTCATTCATATTTACCTATACTAGAACTTTATTGTTGTTTTTTTGGTTAAAATAAATCAGAAAACAAAAATTAATTTGAGTAAAAATTGAATAAGTTATGCTAAATTTAAGAAAAATTTTGTGAGTAAACGCAGACTTTTTCTGCTGTGTGCATAAATAACATTTTTTTTTTGGAAATTATGTACCTCATTATATGTGGTAGCTATTCTATCTTTTTACATCTTTTGTAAAAAAAACTCCAGATAAGTTCTGTCATCAAGCAAATACACACCCTTATTAAAAAATATTTTTTTAATAGAAGATATTTTAAATGTATAAAATAAAAAAAAATTAAATAATCAACTAACTCAATAAAGTAAATTTATAATGGGGATATTCAGGTAACTGATTTGTTGCTTAGTACATAGATGATTACAACACAAATTTGCATTCACAAAAGAAACTAAGCAGAGAATTTACAATTTCGGAGATTCTCAGATTAGTGAAAATTTAATTAATAGTGCTGCCAGTACCAAGTCTCTGCGCTATGAGCTATTGAAAAATAATAACATAAATTAATAAATAAAATTCAGTAAAACTATAATTTTTAAATAGATATAAAGGGATAAAATATAATTAAAAAGTATAAAATTGAATATTCTACTTCTTGATATATGACACGTTCGCAATTTTAGGTATATGATAAATTTTATGATAAATTTTATGATAAATTGAAATGATATTAAAATTTACGATTATTTGAGTATTTCACTGTAAACATATGTTGCATTTTTGCTGTTGATACGAGTGCTGTCAAGGCATTTGCACACAACAAACTAATCAAATTACGCATTTTGGGTTGTTTCAGCTACTGATTAACATCAAAATTCTAATTTTTTTTGTATGAAGGTTTTGAATCAACTAAGCAACTAATCAGTTGCCTGAATACCCCTAAGTGTTGAAAATTGAATATGAATTGTTGAAAAGAATATTTTTGTGATTTAATTATAAGAATTGTAAAAAAAAATTCACATTATTTATAAAAGTGTATAATTTCAAAATTGTCTTCAAAATAAAAATGATTGAATTTGTATAGAACGGAGCGGGCTAGGTTGGGCTGGGCATAGCTACATCATAGCCATCAAGTTTTAGGAATTCGGTCTACAAGAAGTAAAGTTTAGTTGCGATTATTTAATTTCTAATTTAAGTGTATTGTGTTATATAAAGTTTAGACTTTTATAAAAGCTTCTGTTTTAATAGCAGAAATTTGTTGGATTTGTTGAAGAAGTGCGTTTAATTATTTTTGATATTTTCAATTTGAATTAAAAACAGGGCTGTTCAATCATGAACATGAATTTATATATGTAATTATTATAGTTTATTATTATAAATCCATGATCACCTACATTCTTAGAAATAGTAACATTTTTGAGCATCCGTATCTAAATTATTGAAATAAAATATATTCATAAAAACAATAGGAGGAAAATCCCTAGAGTTGGGACTTCCGTCCTTTTTTAACCTTTTTTTACAAACAATAACAAAATGTAATATAGTCCATTAAAATCATATTTTTTTAAGCTTGATGTAGAAATTAGTCTTAAAATAATTTTGTATAAAAACACAACATTGTTTTAAATAAAATCAGTAACTACAAAATACTCAATCAGTGTACTTCAATAATATAACAGTACAAGGGCTTTGAACTGTTTATGCAGATGTATTTCTCAACAGTTAATAAACATGTATATAAAAGTTAAAATTGCGGAAATTTTCAATTAATAATTACTTTTACTTTTTCCAACAATTTTATTTGTTCATAAAATGTTTAAAAACGAGAGAATTACCATTTCCAATTAAAATTACAGAAGTTATTTTCAAAGATCTATGCATATTCTCCGTTATTAAAGCAATATTAAATCATTTCCATTAATATAACCTACCTACCATCTGTAAAATTTGGCTATTCGGTTAATGTTTGCTATTTATTAATATCAAACAACTCCGTGAAGTTTACGAAATTAACTAAAATGAATAATATACAGTGTGAAGTATTATTTTGTCAACAATATCTCGTCAAATCTCGAAAAAGCTTAATTCATTAATAGTACCGACATCAATAGTACAATAATTTTAATCGTAAAATAAAGTGGTGTATTGAATTTCTTTTCAATCTTACAAAATCGAAAGAATCTGAACATTCTGGACGCTAAATTGTTGGGTGGTTATTGTAATCGGAAAAATTTAAGAAATACGAGGTGCAAAAGGAGGATTTGAACATGTGTTCCAAAATGGTGGTAGAGTTTGTTCTACAACTTGCCAAAAACGATAGCAGTACATTCTCGTTTTTATGTTTCAATTTACAGAAATCGATTTATTTTTCCAACCAAATAATCTATAAAGCAAATATCTAGGATCACGACATATCTTTTTGTGAAAGTTTAAGAAATTTCGGTATAACGAGTAAATAACAGCGAATTTAAACGTTCTTTTTATTTTACAAAAGTTATGTTTTATTGGGTAAAAAAATCATAAATATTCATCCGTCATTATGTATTAAAAATTGTATATATATTGATAATATTGATAAGAATATTATATTATGTAATAGCGTTAAATTAATTGTTTTCTTTTCTTTTCTGTTTTAGGGTGGCGAAGTTATTCAAGAGATTATAACATCTAATGTTAGTGAAGATTTAATAACTCTTGAGTTTCAGAAAACGGATGGGACACTTATAACGCAAGTTATTGATTTCAGAAATGTAAGTACTTCTTTAGTTATAACTTTTTTAGTTAATATGTATATTAAAATGCTTAATTTATTAAGAAATTTGTACTTCTATTATAGTTTTCATTGTAATGAGATTAAGTGGTGTGCATGTATAATCCTTAAAAATCTTTTGTAAACAGAAATTTTGATCTAAAAGTCAATTTTTGCAATTTGCAAAAATAGAAATGACAAATATTGTATTATGGCGTGATGAAATCAGAGGTGTAATGTATGTTGAATTTTTCTTTCGATGAATTAATTGTATGGCGAGATGTATGACGTGGGGCTATGCCATTAAAACTGTAAATTGTCTACTTGAATCTAATTTATTGAAAAAATGTAGTCAAAATTAATACATTGTGTAATGAGTAAGTCTTTCCGATTTATATAAAAAACCAGATTGATTTAATTATTTAAGAAACTAATCGACCATATGCTGTGACCATGGGTCCTGCTCTGTGGTAAAATATGTCGTGAAATGATAAATTCCTCTTAAAACTGTGTCAGAAATATTAGCTTCCGAACTGACCATAACATAAGTCGAATTGTAGCTTTGAATATTGTCGAAATAATTTTCGGACTTTTTCTTTATATTTTTATCATTTGATCTAAGACCGTCATACGATGAATTAAAAAAATCATTTTGTGTTAATAGTGGAAGATGTACTTTACCCTTATGACAACACATAGTGAAGGAAATTCTTTCACGCATTGTTAACTCTGAAGCAAAATGCTTAGCTAAACAATGCCTGCTAACCAAGTTCATAGAACCAATATGAAAGGGATCAAAATTAGGCGGTATTTCAACCAATGCACATTTGAACGAACTTCGCAAAGAAACTGAATTATTATCAACACTATCATCAACTTCAATTAAATTTAAATTTGTAGTAATAATTACATTTCATGTTCTTCTGAATTGCATATTTTCTCTATTTCTTTGTCTCTGTAATCTCCCTGTAAACGATTTACGGTAAGGCAAGATGCCACTACAATTCCAAAAAAAATTTCATTAATTGAATGAATGATTTCAAATAAACTCACCAATAATAAAGGACGCAACTAATTAATTTTCAAACTCACCACAATAAAACTTATTTTCCTGAAAGTTTAAATTTTTTAATTTTACTACATATTTGTTAATTCGAATAGCCTACTCAGCTCAAGAAACAATTTAAAATTGCTTTTGGTAATTGTTAGGGCCATGTTATGCAGAGTGTCTCGGGCACGGCATGAGTACAATTGTTGTTGTTTTCAATGCAAATTTTAAATTTAAGCATGAGAGAAAAAACAATATGGCCGTTCAAACTCCGGCATGAGAGCCGACGTATTTGTGCCCCGGCACTAGGGCAAAACAGTGTTGTTTAGTAATAAATTTTAAAATTTGCGCCTTTTAGGAGCAAACTACTACAATTCTAGTACGTTTTGAAGAAAAAATGGCAGTAAGCAACACAGCATTTTTTTTTATAAATCGCTAATAATATAATTATTACACTTTCCGATTTTAAAGAAACGCGTAAGTACTGTTAACAATTATTATAAGATAATATAATAATAAATTAACATTTTATTACAGCCTCTATGAGTTTTTTCATGCGAGTTATTTTTGGTGGCAAATTGAAAGTGAGCCTATCTAAATTTCCTTTTAAATTAAGGCACAACCAAGAAGTAGTAAAAATACAAAATTGGCAATACTGATGTGACACTCTGCATAACATGCATTTTCGGCATAGCCCGAAAGAGCGTAATTTGCCGTGCCCGAGACACTCTGCATAACATGGCCCTTATTCAAAACCAGTATTGAAATTCCATTTTGATTTTAGACAGTATGACATGTGAAAAAATAAAGTTGTGCGTCTTCACTTTTTCAACGGTATAAATTTTATCCATATACCTTATGATCAAAAAAGAAGGAGAATTAAAAAAAAAAACGCAAAATTTTGATTTTTAATCATTTTCTTTATTATCGCCTTTAAAGTACTCTCCTCCTTCAATACATGCATGCCAACGCTTGATCCAATTTTCCATACAAGTTTTACAGGCTGCCGAAGGTATGGCCTTTAGTTCCCGCAGCGAATTCTCTTTTATGGCCTCTATGGTCTAAAAACGCGTCTATGGTCCTTGCAATGGCAATTTGAATCGGGGGCAGGGAAGGAGGCAAAAGTCATACGGGGCCATATCTGAAGAGTACGGTGCTTGGTTGATGATATTGGTGGAGTTTTTGGCCAAAAACTGCGACACAACCAACGGTGTGTGAGCCGGTGTTTTATCGTGGTGCAAAATCCATGAGTTTTTCTTCATAAATCTGGCCTCTTTTTGCGAATGGCCTTACGCAAACGATGCATAACGGCCAAATAATGCTTCTTATTGACCGTTTGACCATTTGACCGTCCGGAAGGAATTCATAGTGCACCACACCACGAATATCGAAGAAAACAGTCAGCATAACCTTGATTTTGGACCGACTTTGGCGTTCTCTTTTCGGTTTCGGCTCACCTTCGAAGCACCATTCTGTTGATTGTTGTTTGGTGGGCATTTGAAATTTATAGACTCATGTCTCATCACTAGTTATGATGCGTTCGATGAATGTGGGGTCACTATCTGCGTTGGAAATCATCTCTTTGGTCACATCACAACGACGCTTTTTTTGAATGAAATTCAGCTTTTTTGGCACCAGCCGAGAAGCGACACGTTTCAAACCCAAAACATCAGTTAAAATGTGTTCGGCTGATCCATATGAGATGCCCAATAACACTGCAATCTCTCTAATCGGTTCACAACGATTTTCCAACACGATCTGCTTCGCCGATTCAATGTTTTCAGTAACAGATGTTATTGGGCGGCCAGGGATCTCATCATGATACAAGCTTGTACGACCGTCTTTGAATCTTTTGAACTATTCGTACCTGTACTCGTGGTTGCGACGCACACAAATCACCAAAGGCCTTTTTTAACATTTTCAACACTTCGGCACACTTAAATCCATTTGCAACACAAAATTTAATGCACGCACGTTGTTCTAATTTTTGATCCATTATAAAAATCGCGACACGAAAATTTTTGACTTCTTTGTGTAGACGCCAAACAAAAACTAATCGTACATATGCGTTAAACTTTGACAGAATGTGTATAATAGTGTTGCCAGCGTGAAAATAAAAAAAATTTACCGATTGGATAAGCACGGGAATTCAAAAAATTTATATTCTCGTTCTTTTTTGATCACAAGGAATGACAACGGCAACACAGTCAAAAAGAGATTACAAACTTTTTTGTTAGCGTGATTATATATAGATTCTATTATATATTGTTTCTGTTAGTTGCAAAATCACAATTATTGATTGCCAACTGTAGGATACAACTTAGCATTTGGGATTTAAAAGTTCCATTCCCTTTACGGCTCGATCTGCATTCATTTGATTCGGAGATGAATAGTATCACCTAAACGTATGTTAGGTATATTTTATTTATTTATTTTTAACACTACAATTTATCTACTATTATAACAAAATAAGTTTTTATATATATCTTTTCTTTAGTCCGTTCTCACATGCCTTCGTGCACACACTCGTAAACCTTTTTTCTCACTATCTTGCACGACGCCACTTCTTCTTTTTATATATTCGTGGCGTTGCCAGCTAGTTCGTACGTGACAATAGTTTGTGCTGTTATTTCAGCAGTAATGTCTACAATTCCGTATATAATTCTATGACCATGTTTAGCGCGATTCGTTTTTTTTTTTTGTTAAAGGACAGAAGTTTCTCTGTGTGAAATAAAAATAAGATAAAAAACATAATACATAATTATACAGTATAATTCTGTAAATGGACCGGTATGCAGAATATAGTGTAAAACAAACGGGAAACATCTACTGTTTTTGTAACAAACGAATATTTATTTTATTTTATGTGTAATTATTTATTTCTATGCAATTAGTTACTGTTACATCTAATTATTATTTTATTAATTTATTTTTAGGAAGTGAAAATTTTAAAAGCGCTGGTTTTGGGCGAAGAAGAACGCGGTCAAAGCCAATATCAAGTTATGTGCTTTGTAGCCAAATTTAATAAAGGTGATTTTATTTCATCAGACGCAATGTCAAAATTGCGACAAAAAAATCCTAGTAATATACGTACACCCGAAGAGGATAAGGGCAAAGAAACTTTCACTATGACATCATGGGTGCATCTAAATCGATCCACTCCCATATCACGTCATTTATATGGCGTTTGCGCTGAAGCAATTGATGCAACGTACGTAAGGGATGTAGACTTAAAGGCTTGGGCTGAATTACCAGGTAAGTACTATTTATATATCAAAAATGATAACATGTCTTAGTTACTATCAATTTTTAGTTTAATATTAATATTAATATATTAATAAAAAACATTTATATTTTATATATAATTGTATTATATAATGGTATTAGTTGTTGTTTTTGTGATTAGTGCTATTGCGCACTTTTACTCTATTGTGGTATTAGTATTGTACTTAGAAACCTTTAAATGGTTTTAAACTTTTTAAAATTACTCGTAATTTAGTTAGCAAACTTTGCTTTAATCTAAGTTTTCATTTTTTTCTAGACTTTAAACTTAAAAATTTTAAACGCATTTGTGTTGTGAACAACCAATAAGTATCAAAACTTAGTTGGGCGTCCCAAAACGAAAAAACCACAAAAAACGTGTATTTCTTTTTCTTGAAGAGGAATAAGCCATATTATTAAATATTTCGAAAACAAAAAAAATATTCTATGAAATCTATGAATCCTATCGTCTTTTAAAAATTTTTTTATATGTTTAATGACAATTCATACCTGACATAACGTAATATTAGAATTTGACATAAGTTTGATATAATTTTTTTATTTGATTAATAATTTTATTATATTATTTTAGGATCTTCAATTTCAAGCTTGGAAAGTGCAGTAGAGAAGTTTCCCGATACATTATTCTCGCGTTGTAACGAGGTGAGTAGCTTGTGGGCACCATGTCTCTGTACACTAGAAACTTGTATTGGTTGGTATCCCTGTGGACTAAAGTACTGTAAGGGTAAACCGGGTGATACTTCAGCTGCGCAAGGGAATTATCGTTGCGGTATAAAAACTTGTAGAAAATGTAGTCAATTTACGTACTACGTGAGGGAAAAACAGCAGTGCCTTTGGGATGAATGACGAGGACGAACGTCATGGTTAGGAATGCTTTTGTTATATTTTTTTAGTCTTAGTATTCTTTTTTCTAGAATTTCTTTTTTTACTCCTTTTTTCTAAGGATAACAACTTCTTCAGAAAAAATTTTATTTAAAATTCATATCGAAATCAAAAAATTTAAAATTCTTATTTAATAAGTAAATAATTCCAAAAAGTTAATATTACTTAATTTGTTAGTTTGTAATTATAACTATGAAACAATAAAAATCTTACAAGGTTTTCTTAAAAAAGTTGTAGGATTGTGTCTACGGATCGTTTGTACTAATTGCTTTTAGCTGAGTATGTTAATACCAAGTTTTCAAAGTCTTTATTCTTGCTGGCGTTAATATCTTCTAATTCTATTCTCCTATGTTAGACAATGGGCATACTTGAATTTTAATTTTTTATTTACTGTAACATCTCCGCCTTCTAAGCAATTTAATAGGTCGAAACAAGCTAATTCAGATTATTTTCCCAACACATTTTATTTCGAAGTATTTGTTTTGACAGAAAATTTTGCAATCATCATACAAAAATACGGTTTTATAGATATAATACAAGTGCAAATGAAAATAAGTGGCTATCTTCAAAATTGGTTTTTAACGAAATGGCATACGCAGGTGATGTTAGCTTAAATTAAGTTAAGATTTTTTTTTTCCATGCAGTAAGTCTGTTAACAGTTTGTAGCGTGTTACTTTATTTATTAATTATATGTTTTATTAACCGTGTTGTGCTTCCTAGTAACCTTCCGCAGAAATACACATGTCGATTTATTTCGGTTCTTGCATTTATTTATCCTATCTGTGCCCCTGCTTGGTTGTTGTGAGCAATGCTACTGTCACTGTAGTTGCTGAAAGGTCTCGTTGCCACTGCTTCTGTTGTTGGTTGTTTTAATTAATATATAAGCATTCGTAATTTTCTGCGTGCTCTTCAGGTTAAAACAATTAATAGACGCCGCTGCAACTATAGTTGTTTAAGTTGCTCTAATTTTAATTTGTCTTCACTGCACTGGATTTTATTTATTGTCATTTAATAATTAATACAATTTATTAAATACATTTACATATATTTTCTGGTAAGCACCAATTCCGAAAACTCGAAAACTCCGTATAAGCGACTGCCAACCTCCGAACAGCACTCTCGATTCAAGACTATATGTTTTACTGTGCACGTTATGCCGTGTCAGCGCATTCCACTGATCACGTTGTGAGATCGTTGCCTTCAGCATAGTTCACTCATTACAATGTTGTAATATGAGTCTTAAACGCAAGGCGAACTTATTTAAATATTTACTATCGGCCAAACCGGCTTAAGCAACACCTTACTGTGTTACGTTTTACTTTTAATGACAATAGTATATTATAGAATTTTAGTGGGGACTTATAACAATAGTGTGTATAGCGATATGTATAGCGATAATATTATGAAACCAATAATATGCCGCACTAGCTTGCGGCAAGTGCCAGAGTTGTCAACTATTTAGAAATTATTCATGCACCACGATACCCCTCACTTAGTTACCGAGGTAACGATACTTAAGTGGGAAACTGACATGCCGTCCCGATGAAGTTACTCGCGGTTGCTGTGGTGAAATACCATTTAGAGCTTTTCTCTCATCTTCTTGTTTTTGTTACTGTGGATATATAGTGGAGTTATTGGTGCAGCATTTGGTGTATCATTGAATATGTATGCTGCTTTCAGATGGTCGATTGACGGCCTCCGGTTGACGGATTTTTACGATGAAATATTTTTCATGCTTAGACAATGCTTCAAAAGATCCTTCTTGTTTTGGTTTCAACGGTGTTCGAATTCGATCGAACATTACGAATACGAATTTGTAACTCATTCTCATGAGTTACCTTGTCTTTGGCTAGCACGCTCTTCATTTATTTAGTAGTTGTGTTGGTTGTTTGTCCTCTAAATCGTTTCATCTTTATGAGGTTGCCGATTTTTCATTTTGTTAGCTTAATTTAACTGATAGAAATCAATGCAAACCATTTGATTTCTATTGGTCATAACTTCAAAAGGTAGTTGTGGCAAGAATATGCCTGGTAAGAAATATATACATTCATGTACGGTACCTATGATATTCTCAAAAATCGGAAGAAATGTGGGCTCTTGCATGAATTTTAAATTATGCGGTGTCGAGTCAAACCAATCATAAAAATGATTTTCAACGCTCTTCAAATCATTCGATAGACGAGCAACTTCGAAGTTATCTATTTTCACTAATCGCGTAAGAACATATTTTCCAGGCTTCAAGTTTTCTATGTTTAAATAAATTATATTATATATTTAATTTTATGTTTATCTTCAAGAGCTGTATCTATTTTTTGCAGAGTAAGATTTTCCTGTAGTAGTGGAAGAAAATTCTCTGATTATATTTTTGTATAGATGCTGTAACTTGAATATTTTATATCTTGCATAAATTTAAGTTTCATCTATTCTTTAATTAACTCATACGATGTTATAACTTCACAACCCATTAATGATTTGTATTCTAATTTTATTTTCAATTATGTTATCTTGACAAACGTTTTTTAAATTTAATATTATATTTATCTTCTAGAGCTGTATCTATTTTTTTGCAGAGTAAGATTTTTCTCTAGTAATGGAAGAAAATTCTCTGATGATATTCTTGTATACTTGTTGTGACTTGAATATTTTATATCTTGCATAAATTCAAGTTTCATCCATTCTTTAATTAACTCATACGTTGTCATAACTTCGCAAACCATTAATGGTTTATGTTCTAATTTTATTGAATGACTTCCAATAAACTCTTTAGCTTCTTCGTCAAGAACACGTAGCATTATATATACACTTATAACAATGTGTGTATAATCAGCTATAATTAGTGGCGGAGCTAGACCAAATCTGGGCGTCGGGCAAATTAAAATTGCGAGGCCCCTTGTATTACCGAGTTATAAAAGTAAATAAATAACTTGCATTCACTTTATCATTTTATTTTATTGGTACTGTTGAGTTTTAAAGTTTTATTATTATATGAAACACAGTTATTATAGAAATGATATGTTTATTATACTAGAATCAAGACTGCAAATGTTACAATGATAAAAATTTATTTACAGTATCAATAACACAGGTCAACAAAAAAAAATTTTTTTTTTATCCTAGATATGTTATTGAGTGATCCTAGAGGTATTTTGCGTGCTGATTCCAAATCTGGACTTAGATTTTTTCTATCACGTCTAGTTTTCTTTAGACAACCAGATTAACGGGTGATTCAAGGGGTTTCAGCAAATAAATCGTGAATTTAAAAAATGGTACTTACTTATGTTTTTCTCGCATATTGAGCATCTGGTAAGTCCCTTTTTAGTGTCCAGCAGTAATCTGCTAACATGTTAGTGAAATTTCCTTTGTGGCGTTTTTCCATGTGTAAAATATCCTGGTGAAAACGCTCACCATGTTCATCACTAACGGCGCCAAGATTTGGTGGAAAAAAGTCCAGGTGAGAGTGTAGGAAGTGAAGTTTTAAAGACATATTGCAGCCCATTTTTTGGTATGAATCAATTGGATTAGCCACCAGATCGCGATAATTTTCAGCTAACATATTTCCTAAAAAATGCTCAACTACATTTTTGAATGAGTTCCACGCGTTAATTTCTGTTGAACTCAATTGCTGTTGAAATTCCGAGTCCTTCAGCAGTTCTCTAATCTGTGGCCCAATAAAAATACCTTCCTTAATCTTTGCCTCACTTATTTTAGGAAATTTTTGCTTCAAATAAGTAAAACCACCACCATTTTTATCCATGGCCTTAACAAAATTTTTAAAAAGTCCTAATTTAATGTGCAGAGGTGGTAAAAGAATATTTTTAGGATCGACCAAAGGCTGGAAGAAGACATTTTTGGTTCCAGGAACGAGTGCTTTACGTTGTGGCCAATCTTTTTTCAAGTAATGCAATTTTCTGTCTCTGCTATCCCACTCGCAGATGAAGCAACAATATTTCGTGTAACCAAGTTGTAAGCCTAGTAAAATTGCAATAACTTTTATTTCACCACAAATTTTCCACTTATATCTTTCGTATTGAATTTTTTTAAGAGAAACTGCATATTCTCGTAAGTTTCTTTCATATCAGTTCCATGGGCTAATGGTATTGAGGGAATTTCATTTCCATTATGTAAGAGAACAGCCTTTAAACTGACCTTAGAAGAATCAATGAACAAACGCCAATCATCATCGTTGTATTCAAAATTAAGAGTATCCATAACAGATAAAACATCATTGCAAAAAATAAGGTTGTTTTCTTGAGAAAAGAATAATTTAAATTCGTCATGGCGAGATCGATACATAGAAATTTTAGTTTTTGGATCCAACAATTTCCAACCCTTTAATCGTGATCCTAAGATTTCACTCTTCTTTTTGCACAACTTTAAATCGCGCACTAGATCGTTTAAATCGTCTTGCGTTATAAGATGAGGTCCATCAGATTTATTAATTCGTAATATTATTATTTATACATATTTATTAACCACGTTATTTATATACATATATTTACATCACGAAAATAATGTATACTATATATATCATATATTAATGAAATACCCAACGCTTAACCCAATCTTTCATACACTTTTCAAAGGCCCGTGAAGGTATGGCTTTTAGTTCCTTCAGCGAATTTTCTTTTACCGATTCAATCGACTCAAAACGCTTACCACGAAGGGGCAATTTGAGTTTCGGGAACAGAAAAAACTCGCACGGATCCAGATCTGGCGAATATGGTGCCTGAGCGATGACAGTGGTGCCGTGTTTGGTCAAA